AGTTTTTCGTAAACATACTAATATATTTTTACAATTGCTTGGTAACCCTCGATTTTCTGTGTGCGTTTGTTGCGAGTTTGTCGTAGTACGTACAAAATCAATTTGATTATTTAAATAATTATCTACAGTTTTTTTTGATCTAGGTGTATATCTTGTGCGAGGCATTTTTTTAAATATTTTTTTTGTTGTTAAAAAAATATATATTTATATAATATCATTTTTTTAAATTTTTTTACAGATTTAATTATATAAAATAAAATGAGTGAAAACGAATTAACAAATATCTTGTCATTCTATCTTGAAGCCTATTGGCAACAATTTGCTAATTATTTAAACATGCATCGCTGTGTTATTGATGCCATTGACAACGATTACAATAGAAGTTATTTCAAAATATGTCGAGTCATTACGCTATTTTTTCAAGTTAATCCAGAAGAAAAATTTAATCCGCAATTTATATTAAAAACATTACAAAGATGGTTGATTGACGAACAACAAAAAAATAATTTTAAATTAATAAACAATTTAAACGAATTGATTATTAAATTTAAAAATTTTGTAGAAGAACCCATGGAATATTAGTTTTTTATATTGTATAACATATTCTATTTTTTTAGATCAACTAAAATATTAAAATATGGAAGAAATATATGCAGAGGTTAACAAGACCATATACAAATATGGGAAGCCTGTTGTAAATAATGAACCGTATGTAAAACCGTACGAGACCATATTTGTAGACCCTAACTCAGTTTTTAATTTAAAAAATATTGATGTGTTAGATGAAAAAGAGGAATACGAAATGATGGAAGTAGATGATGAAGACTACGATGAAGACGATGAAGACGATGAAAACTATTACGATGAAGACAATTATGTTGAAAACGATGATGAAGACGATAATGGTAAAGATATATATAAAGAAAACAATGATGATAAAGATATAATTATGATGATGATGATATGGAAATAGACAATTAAATTATTTTGTTTTTTTTTTATTTTTAATGTCCCTTTAGTTTTGAGTGTTTTAAGAAATTTATTTTCTGAAAGCAGCCAAAACTAAAGGTATAAAAAATAAAAAAAAAACAATGGAATGGAACTTTATTATTTTTAATGTCCCTTCAGTTTAAATTGTTATCAGAAATTATTTTCTAATAGCCATTAAAACTGAAGGTATAAAAAATAAAAACAATGGAATCACTTTTGTTTACAATAATTATGAATATGAGATTACTTTTTCTATTCAATAGATAAAGCAGTTTCGTATTCATAACAATGTAACATATTTTACTGAACAGCTGTCATTGCAATTGATATATATTAAAAATAATAATTTGTGTTTTTTTACTTTTAATAATAAATATTTTTTTTTCATATTGTTTTTTTATAATATGTTAACCCTATTTGACTATAATTTTACCTGTAATATTACATAATATTACCCATAATATTTTAAAAAAATTTTTATATTAATTTAATACTTTTTTTAGCAACTAATTATACCAAAAAAAAATGGCTGAAGCTATGGAAAAAGAATTATGTTATTATTGCAAGCTACCCTTTACTATTGATCAATTACTTAATCATCAATTAAAATGTAACACATCACAAGATTATGATTGTTTTAGCTGTGGAAAAAAAATTAAAATGTCAGATACTTGGGAACATGAATGTGAAATTTATCACGAGGAACGCGTAGAAAGAAATCAAATTAAATTATGTGTATTTTGTGGAAATCAAATTCAAAAAAACTACTATGATCAACACGCTATTGATTGTTTACATCGTTTTGAAAATGAATGGAAAGAAGTAATGGAGAAACAAAAAAATATTATTATGGATCAAAAACAAAGTTTAATTTTTTTAAACATGACTACTAATAACATTCTAAACAGTTTAGAAACTGTTAACAAACAAATAAACGCATTAACCAAACGAATGGACAACATGGCTTTGGAAATGAAAGAGTTTGTGAATAAAAACACATTTGAAAAAATATTAAACAACATCAGCTTGGAAATGAAAGAATTTGTGAATAAAAACACATTTGAAAAAGAAGTGAAAGATATCAACGACAAATTCATGTCTAATAATTTAATTATAGAATTGGACCAAATGGATTTAAGATTGCAATCTAACGAATCTTATCATACTCAACCTTCTTATACTGTAGATGGTTATTTATACCGATTTAAAATTTTTGGCTACAGTAATCAAGAAGATAAATTGGGCATTTATTTTCAATTGATACAGTCTCCAAAAGATCATTCTTCAAAATGGCCGTTCATGAAAACTGTAACATGTACAGTTAAAAACGAATGTATTGAAAACACAAAAATAATAGCCAATTATAGCGAACCGTTAAAAGAATGTTTTGAAAAACCTGCTCAAGCTTATAACCGAGCTATTGGAACAGATAATTTTGCAACACATGATCAATTAAAAAGACATTATATAAAAAACAATAAACTTATTATACACGTTTCTTTTATATAATTTGTTATGTATTTTTTTGTATTTAATTAATCATATAATTAATAAACTTATTATACACGTTTCTTTTATATAATGTATTTTTTATATTATATATTTTTTTATATAATGTTATATTTTTTTTAGAATATTAAAAAAATGAACAGTGCAATCATGAGAGATTTAGCTGACTACATCACTACGTCTGATGTACGAAAGTTAAAAATTTTTTTAGAAATTCCGTACGGAATAAGAGAGAAAATTAAAGATGGACTAGATTTAATGGAATATATACAGTTCAAAGATTTCGTATATCAACACTATGAATACAATACTAACGAGGCTAAAATCAAACTTATTTTAAATTTGTTAAATGAAATCGGTAGAAAGGATATCTATAAAAAGTTTATAGTTAAATTTGAAAAACCACCATCATACGAAGAAAGTGTAAATCCTCCACTGGAAAATAGAGACAGTTATCCAAACTTTAAAGTGGCAGATCCATTTTGGTCAATACACGCAAAATGTAATACTCCGTCGTATTATCCGCCTGAAGTTATTAGTTTAAAACAAAAAGAACTGTTGAACTATTATAATAAAAAATAAATTTTTTTTAAAATTTTATATGACCTTTTTTAATTTGTATATTTTTTTTAGCAATGAAAAAAGAACAATTAAATAAAGTACTTAATGAATTACACGAATTTTATTCAATGAAGCAAAACAAGTTGATAGAATGGAATTACAACTATGATCTTGTTTTCAATCTTGTTACAAATGTTAAAACATGGTCTTTACAAGATTTATGTAAAAGAAAATTAGCTTACGAAAAACTTTTGAACACTGTTATACCAAATTTACAAAAACAAATTAACAATTTATTGAATACGTTTTTTGATGGAAACGAAAAATTATTACTCTATCATCAAATATATACTGATCATTGTTTTGATAGCATTATTAACAATATTAACAATGCGAAATATATTTATAAAAAATATTATTTATTTGTTCAGAAATTAATTATTCGTTATGTATATCGATTTTTTGAAAAAACTTATTTTATGTTTCGTTATAAAACTAAGCAATACAAATTAATTATGTCATCTCTTTTTAATATTTATATGCAATGTACAGATTGGTTAATTGAACAACGTAAATTTGTTTATGATCCTCATTTTAAACCTTGTTATATTTATTAATATGATTTTATTTAGAATGTTAAGAAAAAATTTACTTAGACATGCTAGAATACATCATGATTTAAAAGAATTTTTTTCAATAAAAGAAACCATGGCGAAACAATTGCAAATTAATAACCGTGAAATAGACTTTCATGACAAATACTATCGTGAATGGACTTTGAAAGATTTATGTAAAAGAAAATTAGCTTCTGAAAAACTACTACGAATTGTCATACCAAATTTACGTAAACAAATTAACAATTTAATGTATTCGTTTTTTCAAAATAATCAAAAAATTTTATCACTATATTCTGTTTACAAATCACACGAAGACGATTGTTTTGAATTAATTGAAAGACGTGCATTAATTAGACCGTTTTATTTGAATATTCAATTATCCATTGTTGATAATATATATAAACTTTTTGTAAATACTTATTATATAAATTGTTTTTCTGCTACTAAGCAACATAAATTAATTATGAAATCTTTTTTTATTATTTATATGGAATGTATAAATTGGTTATTTAAACAACATGATTATGTTATAAATCCTTATTTTAAACCTAATAGAAATGACATGTATGATTTTATTTAACTTTTTATTTTAGAATAAAAAAAATGAAACTAATTACTGGAGACGATCAAGACTTTTTATTTTTTAACAGAGAAGAATCCGATATAATGACAAAATTTTTCAATGTGGAACATGAAAAGATTAATGATCCATCAACATTAAAAGCGTTTGGCAATATATTATTAATGGTACAAGAAGAAGTTTTAAAACAAACAAACTATTTTAAAAACATTGAGAAAACAGAAGAAATTAAACGAGACTTTTATAATTTTGTAAAACAAGTATTATCAAAATAAATTTTTTTTATTTTTTTTTAGATTCATAACAAATAAAATGAAACTTGTTAAAAATGATCAAATCAGATTTGTTAGTTACAACCCTCAAGAAGCAAGAATACTAATAAACATAGCAGAAGACCCATACGGATCCGATAGTTGTAGAGTGTTGGCAGAATTTTATCGTATTGGTGTTATTATAGACGAAGAAATTCAAAAACGTACGAACAATTTTACAAATAAAGAACTGTTTTGAAAACTTTGTTAAAAGTTTATTATAAGAATAAAAACAAAGTTTTACATTAATAAACTTTTTCATTTAATATATTGTCTCTTTCCTTTTTTAAAATATGATAACATTCCAATACATCTTTTTGCAAATATAATCCTCCAACTAATCCTTTACAATAATAACACAATTGTTGAACTATTATTTTTAAACTATTTACATAGTTTATTTTTTTATACAATTTATCTAAACACGTAAAATAATAATAAAATGTTTTTAACACATCAAGACAATGTTCAATGACTTCACTATAATTATGAAAACACGTGTCAGGATAAAATACGCGATGCGGAAGACATTTAAATAGCAAATCAAGAACTTCTATCAACTCTATTTGATATGTCTTTATCAATTTTAAATCTTTAATATAAAAACCGTATACTCTTTTACAACTATCCAATTCGCTTTCTTCAGCTAAAAGAACTTTATCCATCCAAACACCTTGATTTAAATGCGTTTCCTGTAAATGTTTTTTTAAATCTAAATTAAGTTGATATAAATATAACAAACAATCGTCCGTCGCATCAAAAGATATTTTGATAAATGAACTTTTTATTTACATATATACAATTTATTTACAAATATATTTTTATATACAATAACAACAACCGCGGCACCGCTCAAATAAATCTTGTATGTACGGGCACACGGTTGTTGCGCAACAATGATTATGTTCGCTTTGTTCTCCTGTACATAAACAACATCCTAAACAAACCACTCGTCTAGTTGTTGAATCTCCATTAAGTGAAAAATATCGTTCATTTTTATTCATTATGCCGTCGTTTAAATGACGATCAATACGAATCATAATACCATCGAGTATGCGAACTTGTTCTAAAAAAATTATTTTAAACTAAATATTTTAAAAAAAAAAATTATTATAAAAATTTTTTTTTTAATTTACCATCGTCTATTTCTGGAATATCGTCGTAGATTTCCAATTGGTCTTCGTATGTTTCCTCATCTGATTCCTCAAGTGGTCTTGTTTCAACCACTTGAGGTACATAATTTTGAGGCGCTTTATTAACATTTTCGGGCACATAGGGTTTAACAACCTAGAAAAAATACACATCCATTTTAAAAAAATACAAAACATTTATTTTAAAAAAAGAAAACAATAAACTTACAGCTACAGGTTTGACAAATAATTGACGTTTGACTTTTATTTTTTTACTTTCCTCAATTTTTTTTACTTTACCCATTTTTTTATGTTGTAAAAGTCAATTAATATAATTTGATAAAATGCTTTTTTATATTTTTTATAACGAATATAATTAAAAAGCATTTGCTTTTTTATATATTTTTTTTATAACGCTAGATTAACTTTAAACAAAAAAAAAATTAATTTTTTTTTTTTAAACATTATCGGATTATAACGTTATGACGTTATCGGATTATGACGTTAGTTATGACGAAGGTCGGGATGGAAGGTTGGGTGGGAGGAAAGTGAATAAATCCTATATGAGTATATCATCATATATATATATATATATATATATATATATATATATATATATATATATATATATATATATATATATATATATATATATATATATATATATATATTTAAAATTAATTAAATGTTATATTAAAATTAAATTTTAATATTATTATGGACGTAATAAGAACGTAATTTTTAAAAACAAATGCCTGGTGGGCAATGAATGGTGAACTTTAATTTAGATAAAACCCGATTTTTTTCAGCCAATTGTTATCGCAATTATTTAGATCTTTCTATATTTATAAATGGTAATGTACTCGATGAGTCATCTACCTTACTTCTTTTAAGATTAATTCTTACTTCCAATCTTTTTTGGAAACCGTATATCAAATCCATTACAAAATTAGCATCTGCTCTGGTTGCATCTCTTTATTGTGCTCGACACTTACTCTGGTTTCTATTCTTTACCTCTATAAATATCAAATCCGTCCTTGTATGAAATATTGTTGCCATATCTGGGGAGGATTTTCCAATGATGCTCTTTTTTTTTTAGGCAAGGCACAAGAACGCATTGTAAAAATAGTTGAACCTGCTTTTGCAGCGAACCTCCAACCATTATCACATTGTGGTAATGTTGCTTCTCTTTCTATTTTCTACAATACTATAACAGGCACTGCTCTAAAGAGCTAGCGTCTCTTGAGCCAACTACTATAGTTCATTCTCGTATTACTCGTCATTCATTTAAGTCTCATCCTTTTTCTGTGACTATTCCTAAGTTCTCAAAAAACTCTTATTCGCCTAGTAATTTTTCTCAAATATCAGTTCTTTAGAATTCGCTTTCTTCATCTTTTGTTATAATATAATTTGCTTTTATTATAATTCGCTTTTATTATAATATAACTTGCATTTTTTTATGTCGTCTGTCAATCGTTATCTTGTTCTATAAACTTCATCTTTTCTCCTCCAGTAACTTCCAAATCTAATAGTGGTTGGTTGCAGCCTTGTTGAAAGCAAAATGTTTAAAAAAAATTTAACTTTCACTTATGTTTCCAAGATATGTGACAAAAACAGTATAAATTAAATTTAAAAATCATTGTCCTACCGGGAAATAAAGATCTATAGGTAAATTTAGGTAAAAAATATAAAATTCTTAACAAACACATTTCAAATTTTAGTTGCAGTAACCAATTTTGTAAAGGTTTCTAAAAGTTTATGAATATTCTGGTGCAAAAAGAGTTGAGAAGTTTTGGGCAACAAACTAGTTCTTTTTTCATCAAAAATGTTACATGTCTTTGAGAATATTTTAAGATATGCCTCTGAGAATAGTCTTATTTTAAATGTTACTTAAAATTTAAATAATTAAATATTACTTTATGCCTAATAAAGTAAACATTACAATTTTAACCAAAATGGAAAAATAGAAAACATGCATATATATATATATATATATATATATATATATATATATATATATATATATATATATATATATATATATATATATATATATATATATATATATATATATATATATATATATAATTATATTATGCAGGTTAAAAATTTCAGTAAATAAAATTAATAGAAACAAATAAAAACAACATAATAGATTTAAAAAGTGCGTTACCACTGCGCCACGGCTGCTTTAAATATATATTATGTAGCCACGATGCTGAATAGACAAAAATTTGAGCAATCTGATTTGCTGATTTTTAGAGAAAGGAAAGTGTTTCTTTGTCGAAAAAAATAATTAAAATTTAAACAACCAGATTTTAGAAAAAAATTTTAAAGTAAAGTTAACCAATACACGTCTTGTGTTACTATTAAAAAAAAAAAAGTTCAATTTATTTTATTACTCTTCAGAGTATTAAAAAGGTATCAAAACCTATTCAAGAGAATTTTCAATAGGAAAAATCTCAAATATTTCAATAAAGTTTATCTTGATGATGGAAATTTTATCTGTTGTTTGTTCAATTAAATAACTGAACCACGGATCTTATTAACCACGGATTTTATCGAATTTACTTCAACACACACATTTCTTTTATTTATTTAAAAAGAAATGGAAGAAAATGTAGGTGCTGAAGTAAATTTGAAACAATCTACAAATTTTTTTCTCGTCAAATATGCCCTTGGGCTTTAAGCATACTCAAATACAAAGTTTATATACATTTGTACGAGACTAATGGTGAATTACTTTTGCATATAATGATTATATGCAGTTTTACTAGACTATTGGTGAAGAACTTTATTTATAAATTGATTTATACATTAATTAAAACAACCTGAACATTGGAATTTTTAAATTAAAAGCAAAAAAAATTATTGGTGTCAAATAAGTTAAATAATTAGTGGATCAAAAAAATCCAAATGGTTGTGGCACTTTTTTTATCGTAATAACTGCAAAAAAAAATTATAAAGCTAAATGGTTAAAATTAAACGTTTTAATAAAAAAAAAAAGTAATAAAGAAAAGACAATAAAATCATCATCAAAAAAAAAGAGCAAGATCAGTTGTTATGCTATGAGAATGCTCTTGTTATTTTAAAATGTGCTTTGTATGTTTAAACTCTTGAAATATTTAACTTGAGTTTGTATATGTGCAATTTTGAAAGATTTCTAAATATATTTCTCTACAATTGTAATGTCCATGCTCTATATGCTTGCTCGATACAAAATTTTTATGTAGTTGCACCAGATTACTGGTAAAGTTCTTAAAGTATGTAAAGCGTAAATTTTAAGCTGAGGCAGAGGTTTTGCTAAACTTCTTACTGCATCTTTATACCAACTTGTTAATTATAATGTTTTTCATTTAAGTTTTTGGAAAAAGAAAATTTTTTCAGAAGTTTTGCAAAACTAGCATACATGTTCCATTTAAATCTACGAACTTATGAGTAGTTGCTGTTTAACCTAATTTTTAATAAGACTCATAAGGAGCACGTCAACTATCATAAAATTTGGAAATACGGAATACATTTTATTTAAGTTTTTTTTCATTTTTCTAAAGCAGACTTTTTTTTTCTTCGGAGTATAAAATGTAAAATAAATTTTTAGCATAATAAATTTAAAATTTATCAAAGTTTGTTGCTTTCTTTATTTTTATTTACTATCAGTTGCTATCAAAGATTAAACATTTTTTTACCAATATACATATACATATATATAATACAATAACCAATATTTTGTTTAAGTTAAAAGCTATATATCAACAAACATGTGCTTTACATGTATTGACTTTTCAAATTTAAATAAACAACAACATAAACTTGTATGTTTGCATTTTTTTTTTTCTTCTAATTTTTTACACTTTTTACAGTTTTTCATAAAGGTGTGGTGAGATGAGAGTTATTCCTTTTGGTAATCAGTTTACTATATCAAAACACACTTGTGGACATTAGGTTAAAGATTATTTTTTCGTTTTGGTTTATAATCTTTCATTACTATAATAAAAGATTATAAACTATAATAAAAGACTATAATTACATTGTTTATAATCATTAATTACCGTAAAATGAGGTGACTTTGGCCAATTTTAAAATCATTTTTCTTGCAAAATCTAATTTTGAATGATTAACCTGTTGATATAAGTTTTATTAAATGTGCATGATGCCAAAGAAATAAAATATAAAAATGAAAATGAAAAAAGTATATTTTATCCCATTTATTTTAATTTTTAAAGTGGGTCAAAGTCACCCCTATAGTGGTGGTGACTTTGGCTAAGATAATATCTCATAATTATTCATTAAGAAACTCATAACTATTGATTAATAAATCATATTTTACATATCACTGATATATGGATAATTAAATATATGTCTTTGAGACAAAAAATTGCTTAAAAAAATCTCGAGCTTGAAACATAATAGCACATTCATTCAACTCTATACTTCATACTATACATGTAGTTATATATACTAAGTTTCCGTGTTTATCAACAAATTATTTATATTTGTTTGTTGTTTAAGAGCGGATAGCTTTGATTTTTTTGCAGAAGGTATTTTTCTCTTGTTTGTGTTAGCTGCTTGCATGTTAGCAACATCAATTGCTGATACACTTTTTCCTGGAATAACTGATACTTTTTGTCGCTTTTTACGTGGGTGTATATGATCATCATCTCTTGCTTCCACTAAATGCTGAATGAAAGACTCACTGACAAGAGAACCTATTTCCTCCTTGACATTTTCATTTGTAAATGTTCTTTTAGGAAGTCTATCTAACACCTGTTTTCGATTAAGCGGGTATAGTCCAGTTTTTCTAAAACCTGCCTTCATACTTTCACAAGCTGGATCTTCAATTTTGTTCATGAGACATTTCAGAAATGATAGAAACTGGTCCTTTGGAAGAGAAAGAGCTTTACATTCTTTTCCAATTTCTTTCCGAGTTGTTAATATTTTTCTCCATTGAGCTTTCATGGGTCGAAAATATGCAACATCCAATGGCTGCGTCAAATGTGTGGAATTTGGAGGAGTGCAATTTATTTGATGTTGTTGTCTTTGCACAAAGATAGAACACGTGGATTTACATGTGAAGAAAAATTGTTTCCTATTAGAATATGTATTCCTGGAGTTTTTTTCAATTCAAGCAATAATTGAGATTCAAACCAACCAGCAAAACAGATGCAGTCGAAACATACACTCTTCGAGCGATTGTAACGTGCTCTTTTTGTTCCATTTTCTGTCCATCTTGTCTACATCGAATCTGCTTTGTAAATAATGTATGGAGAGATGATTTTTCCTTCTGCATTACCACAATACATCAACAATGTAGCAGACTTTGTTGAATTAATTAGGTTGCTTTTGGTAATGTATAGTTCCGTAAAATCCTTTAC